GGGGCAGCAGACTGCCAAATAACAGGGTGTGGCTCTTCTTTTGAACAAAAGAATGAAGGGGGCGTGGGAGCGTGGCGGTGAGGTGTGGGAAGCGAGGAATGGTGGTCGTGGTTACTTATGCCCCCACCGAAGACGAACATCCGTGGAGGGATGCAGGCAAAGCCGATGAGTCAGATGCTTTCTATGACCTTCTGTCATAGGTGCTGGCTAAAGTGGCCCCTCGGGATAGAGTCATCATGTTGGGTGACTTCAATGCCCGAGTTGGTCATGATACTGGCACCTGGACTGGAGTGATTGGAAGCATGGGCCAGATGAGCTCAAAAACAACGGTAGGAGGCTGCTAGATTTTTGTGCAGCCCATGGGCTTGTAATTACCAACATGCTGTTCTGGCATCGGCGCATCCACACAACATCATGGATGCATGCCGGGTCCAAGCAAGAACATCTGCTGGACTACATAGTGACGGACCAGCGAATGCGAGCCCATGTCCTTGACACCAGGACCTACCGTGGAGCTGCTCTGCCCTCTGACCATCGACTAGTCATCTGTAAGATGCGCCTGCCATTCTTCCACTCCGGTGGTGGGTGTACACCCAGGATCCCATTCCGACCTAAGTGGCCTGGTCTCAGTTATCTGATGAAAGTTGCAAGCGAGAATTTCATCATCGCTTGCGGCTGAGGTTGGCATCGTCCCCGACTCCTCCTGATGTTGAGGGTAAATGGGCGAGGTTTAGGACTGTGACTCATGCAGCTGCAATGGCTGCTTTGGGCACGCGGTCCAGACCTCCCCAGAGACCCTGGCTGACAGAGGAGGTGTTCAGGATGGTTGAGAAAAAGCGACAAGCCCAATGTCATTGGCTACAGAATCCCACGTCAGAGAATGAGGAGGCTTACCGCAGCCTTCGCTCGGAGGTTCGGAGAGCTGTGAGGCGCTGCAAGGATGGGTGGTGGTCACGGGTTGCTGAGGAGATGGAGTCTGCCTCAGTGGCCCGCGATCACAAATCTCTATTTAACTCCATCAAAAAAGTAACCTGCAGCGCCACACCTATTACCATCATTAGGGGAAAAAACGGTGATCCAATCTCCGACCCCCAGGAACAGGTTTGCAGATTTGCTGAGCATTTCTGTGAGGTCCTGTGGGAGGGAAAATCCCTCAGCCAGGAAAACATCGTGGCACAAAGTGAGGATGACCCTGCTGAGGCTGTGGTGCCTCAAATATTGGAAGAAGTTACCCCCTGTGAGTGGCTGGCTAAGGTGCCATCTGTTGAGGAAGTACTGAATGTGATCCAGAGTCTGAGACCAGGAAAGGCAGCGGGCAGAGATGATCTCCCAAGCGAAATGCTGAGGGAGGGTGACGTTTGTGCACAGACTGCCCTATATGACATCATAACAACAGTCTGGACCACTGGACGGGTTCCGCAGGATTGGAAGGATGCCCTGGTGGTTCCCCTCTTTAAGAAGGGGGACCGCACAGACTGTACCAACTACAGGGGCATCTCACTCCTCAGTGTGAGGCCGGGAAAGGTCCTGGCAAGGATTATTCAACATCGCCTTGCCTGGCAGACTGAGGAGAGGCTTGCGGAGCCCCAATGTCGTTTCAGGAAAGGGCGGTCCTGCACAGATGCCATATTTTCTGTCCGTCTGCTACAGCAGAGGTGTAGGGAATTCCAGCAAGACCTACATCTCTGCTTTATTGACCTGGTCAAGGCCTATGATACCATCAGTAGGCCTGGGCTCTGGGTTGTTCTTCGTGCTTTTGGAGTACCTGACCCTCTGCTTACGATCATTAAGGACCTTCATGATGGTGAGCGGGCCCGGGTAAAACTACGTGGCCGGGAGTCCGAGCCATTCCCTGTACACCTTGGGGTGCAACAGGGATGTCCTCTGGCTCCCACGTTATTTAACATCACGTAGTTCGTGAAGCCTTCAATAGCTGTACCGGGGGAATCTCCATATGGTACAGATATAATGGGAGGCTGATCAATGCCCGGGTGCGGTCAAGGGATGGCTCCCTATTGCTCAACCACGTTATGTATGCCGATGATTTGGTAATAGCTGCTCATTCAGAGGAGGAGTTGGAGACGCTGCTGCTGAAATTGGAGTGTGCCACTAAGAGGTGGGGCCTTACCATCAGCCCCACCAAAACTAAGCACCTGCCTGGGTATTTTGTACCATCGGGCACTCCACCCCCAAAACTCCCAATCGGTGATGGGGCAGTTGTGGAGCGAGTGGAAAGTTTCCCATACCTGGGCAGTGTGCTTATGACCAGCTCCAGTTTAACAGCAGAGGTCTCACTCCGAATCAGTCAAGCGGCAATATCTTTTCATCAGTTGCGTAACGCTGTGTGGAAGCTACCTGGTCTGTCGCTCCGCACTAAGCTTCAGGTCTTCTCGGCCACGGTCATTCCCTCCCTTCTCTACGCTTGCGAAACGTAGACCCCCCTAATGGAACATCTTCGCCGGTTAGAAACATTTAGGCTGGCCTGCCTACGATCCATCCTGGGTTTAACCAGGCTGGATTGTGTGAGCTCACAAATCCTTGAAAGATCTGGGCACGGTCCCATCGGTGAGCTCCTCCGGCAGGCAAGGCTGCGATGGCTGGGTCATGTAGCCCGCATGCCCAGCCACCGCATGCCGAAACAGCTTTTGTTCGGCCGGATCGAGGGGGCTAAACGGGCGCGGCACGGGCTAGAGAAGAGATGGAGTGATGTGGTACGGGAGGACGTGGAGCTGAGTGGACTTGCCGATGACCGGTACCAGCGGTGTCAAAATCGACCTCTGTGGAGGAGGCTCGTGAAGGACGCTACTGGGCAGTTGGAGGCAGTCGCCCTCCAACAACAACGGAGGGCGGAGGAGCGACGCTCACAACAACGAGCGGAGCGCCGGGTGGCTAAAGCACAGCAGGTTGGCACAGTAGGGGGCACAGGTGGTGCATCAGCCAGTCATCTCAGTCAGTCGACCCGTGGCACCTGGGTCTGCCCCGTGACCTCCTGCCAGCGGGCGTTCGACACTTCACGTGGCCTCAGGGTGCACATAGCCTGGCACAAGCGTCGTGGTGACGTCACCGCCACTTAGTGGCGAATGGCGGTTGTTGTTGTTGTGTCTGTATGTGTCACTGTGTGTGTGTCACTGTGTGTGCCACCACAGTGTGTGTGTGTCACTGTGTGTGTGTGTTAGTGTGTGTGTGTCACTGTGTGTGTCACTGTGTGTGTCACTGTGTGTGTGTTAGTGTGTGTGTGTCACTGTGTGTGTCACTGTGTGTGTGTCACTGTGTGTGTGTCACTGTGTGTGTCACCACAGTGTGATGCGTGGCTCTGGGGGTTTGGGTACCACAACCACCACCTCCACGTCCGGAATCTCCATACAGGGTCCCTCACCATAGCACCTACAGTGACACACACAGTGACACACACACAGTGACACACATACAGTGACACACACAGTGACACACACAGTGACACACACACAGTGACACACACAGTGACACACACACACACACACAGTGACACACACAGTGACACAGTGACACACACACAGTGACACACAGTGACACACACAATCACACAGTGACACACACAGTGACACACACACAGTGACACACACACACAGTGACACACACAGTGACACACACACAGTGACACACACAGTGACAGACACAGTGACACACACAGTGACACACAGTGACACACACAATCACACAGTGACACACACAGTGACACACACACAGTGACACACACACACAGTGACACACACACAGTGGCACACACAGTGACACACACACAGTGACACACACAGTGACACACACAGTGACACACATACACAGTGACACACACAGTGACACACACACACACAGTGACACACACACAGTGACACGCAGACACACAGTGACACACACAGTGACACACACACACAGTGACACACACACAGTGACACACAGTCACACAGTGACACACACACAGTGACACACACACAGTGACACACACACACAGTGACACACACAGTCACACAGTGACACACACACAGTGACACACACACAGTGACACACACACACACAGTGACACACACACAGTGACACACACACACAGTGACACACACAGTCACACAGTGACACACACACAGTGACACACACACAGTGACACACACAGTGACACACACACAGTGACACACACACAGTGACACACACACAGTGACACACACACAGTGACACGCAGACACACAGTGACACACACACAGTGACACACACACAGTGACACACACACAGTGGCACACACAGTGACACACACACACAGTCACACACACACAGTGACACACACACACAGTGACACACACAGTGACACGCAGACACACAGTGACACACACACACAGTGACACACACACACAGTGACACACACAGTGACACACACACACAGTGACACACACAGTGACACACACACACAGTGACACACACAGTGACACACACACAGGAACACACACACACAGTGACACACACAGTGACACACACACAGTGACACACACACAGTGACACACACACGCAGTGACACACGCACACAGTGACACACACAATGACACACACACATTGACACACACAGTGACACACACACAGTGACACACACACAGTGACACGCACAGTGAAACACACACAGTGACACACACAGTGACACACATAGTGACACACACAGTGGCACACACAGTGACACACACAATGACACACACAGTGACACACACAATGACACACACACAGTGACACACACACAGTGACACACACAGTGGCACACACAGTGACACACACAGTGACACACACAGTGACACACACACACTGACACACACACACACTGACACACACAGTCACACAGTGACACACACACAGTGACACACACACACACAGTGACACACACACACACAGTGACACACACACAGTGACACGCAGACACACAGTGACACACACACAGTGACACACACAGTCACACAGTGACACACACACAGTGACACACACAGTGACACACACACACAGTGACACACACAGTCACACAGTGACACACACACACAGTGACACACACAGTGAAACACACACAGTGACACACAAACACACAGTGACACACACAGTGACACACACAGTGACACACACACATAGTGACACACACACACAACATTGTCTGAGTGAGTATCTGAGTGAGTGTCTGAGTGTCTGAGTGAGTGTCTGAGTGAGTGAGTGAGTGTCTGAGTGAGTGAGTGAGTGTCTAAGTGAGTGAGTGTCAGAGTGAATGAGTGTCTAAGTGAGTGAGTGTCTGAGTGAGTGTCTAAGTGAGTGTCTAAGTGTTTAAGTGAGTGTCTGAGTGAGTGTCTAAGTGACTGAGTGTCTAAGTGAGTGTCTAAGTGAGTGAGTGTTTAAGTGAGTGTCTAAGTGAGTGTCTAAGTGAGTGTCTAAGTGAGTGTCTAAGTGTCTAAGTGAGTGAGTGTCTGAGTGAATGAGTGTCTAAGTGAGTGAGTGTCTGAGTGAGTGTCTAAGTGAGTGGGTGTCTAAGTGAGTGTCTAAGTGAGTGTCTAAGTGTCTAAGTGAGTGTCTAAATGACTGAGTGAGTGTCTAAGTGAGTGTCTAAGTGAGTGAGTGTCTAAGTGTGTCTAAGTGAGTGTCTAAGTGACTGAGTGAGTGTCTAAGTAATTGTCTAAGTGAGTGAGTGTCTAAGTGTCTGAGTGTCTTACTGAGTGTCTGAGTGAGTGAGTGTCTAAGTGAGTGAGTGTCTGAGTGAGTGTCTAAGTGAGTGTCTAAGTGTCTAAGTGAGTGTCTAAGTGTCTAAGTGAGTGTCTAAGTGAGTGTCTAAGTGTCTAAGTGAGTGTCTAATTGTCTAAGTGACTGAGTGTCTAAGTGAGTGTCTAAGTGAGTGTATAAGTGAGTGAGTGTCCAAGTGAGTGTCTAAGTGAGTGTCTAAGTGAGTGTCTAAGTGTCTAAGTGAGTGAGTGTCTAAGTGAGTGTCTAAGTGTCTAAATGAGTGTCTAAGTGAGTGTCTAAGTGACTGAGTGAGTGTCTGAGTGAGTGTCTAAGTGAGTGTCTAAGCGAGTGTCTAAGTGACTAAGTGAGTGTCTAAGTGAGTGTCTAAGTGTCTAAGTGAGTGTGTAAGTGTCTAAGTGAGTTTCTAAGTGAGTGTCTAAGTGAGTGTCTAAGTGAGTGTCTAAGTATCTAAGTGAGTGTCTAAGTGTCTAAGTGAGTGTCTAAGTAAGTGAGTGTCTACGTGAGTGTCTAAGTCAATGTCTAAGTGAGTGTCTAAGTGTCTAAGTGAGTGTCTAAGTGTCTGAGTGAGTGTCTAAGTGTCTAAGTGAGTGAGTGTCTAAGTGAGTGTCTAAGTGAGTGTCTAAGTGTCTAAGTGAGCATCTAAGTAAGTGTCTAAGTGACTAAGTGAGTGTCTAAGTGACTAAGTGTCTAAGTGAGTGAGTGTCTAAGTGAGTGTCTAAGTGAGTGTCTAAGTGTCTAAGTGAGTGTCTAAGTGTCTACTTGACTAAGTGAGTGTCTAAGTGAGTGTCTAAGTGACTGAGTGAGTGCCTAAGTGTCTAAGTGAGTGTCTAAATGAGTGTCTAAGTGAGTGTCTACATGTCTAAGTGAGTGTCTAAGTGTCTAAGTGAGTGTCTAAGTGTCTACTTGACTAAGTGAGTGTCTAAGTGAGTGTCTAAGTGACTAAGTGAGTGTCTAAGTGTCTAAGTGTCTGAGTGAGTGAGTGTCTAAGTGAGTGTCTAAGTGAGTGTCTAAGTGTCTAAGTGAGTGTCTAAGTGAGTGTCTAAGTGAGTGTCTAAGTGTCTAAGTGAGTGTCTAAGTGTCTAAGTGAGTGTCTAAGTGAGTGTCTAAGTGTTTAAGTGAGTGTCTGAGTGAGTGTCTAAGTGACTGAGTGTCTAAGTGAGTGTCTAAGTGAGTGAGTGTTTAAGTGAGTGTCTAAGTGAGTGTCTAAGTGAGTGTCTAAGTGAGTGAGTGTCTGAGTGAATGAGTGTCTAAGTGAGTGAGTGTCTGAGTGAGTGTCTAAGTGAGTGGGTGTCTAAGTGAGTGTCTAAGTGAGTGTCTAAGTGTCTAAGTGAGTGTCTACTTGACTAAGTGAGTGTCTAAGTGAGTGTCTAAGTGACTGAGTGAGTGCCGAAGTGTCTAAGTGAGTGTCTAAGTGAGTGTCTAAGTGTCTAAGTGAGTGTCTAAGTGAGTGTCTAAGTGAGTGTCTAAGTGTCTAAGTGAGTGTCTAAGTGTCTAAGTGAGTGTCTAAGTGAGTGTCTAAGTGTTTAAGTGAGTGTCTGAGTGAGTGTCTAAGTGACTGAGTGTCTAAGTGAGTGTCTAAGTGAGTGAGTGTTTAAGTGAGTGTCTAAGTGAGTGTCTAAGTGAGTGTCTAAGTGTCTAAGTGAGTGAGTGTCTGAGTGAATGAGTGTCTAAGTGAGTGAGTGTCTGAGTGAGTGTCTAAGTGAGTGGGTGTCTAAGTGAGTGTCTAAGTGAGTGTCTAAGTGTCTAAGTGAGTGTCTAAGTAAGTGTCTAAGTGAGTGAGTGTCTGAGTGAATGAGTGTCTAAGTGAGTGAGTGTCTAAGTGAGTGTCTAAGTGTCTAAGTGAGTGTCTAAGTGTCTAAGTGAGTGTCTAAGTGAGTGTCTAAGCGTCTAAGTGAGTGTCTAATTGTCTAAGTGACTGAGTGTCTAAGTGAGTGTCTAAGTGAGTGTCTAAGTGTATAAGTGAGTGAGTGTCCAAGTGAGTGTCTAAGTGAGTGTCTAAGTGAGTGTCTAAGTGTCTAAGTGAGTGAGTGTCTAAGTGAGTGTCTAAGTGTCTAAATGAGTGTCTAAGTGAGTGTCTAAGTGACTGAGTGAGTGTCTGAGTGAGTGTCTAAGTGAGTGTCTAAGCGAGTGTCTAAGTGACTAAGTGAGTGTCTAAGTGAGTGTCTAAGTGTCTAAGTGAGTGTGTAAGTGTCTAAGTGAGTTTCTAAGTGAGTGACTAAGTGAGTGTCTAAGTGAGTGTCTAAGTGTCTAAGTGAGTGTCTAAGTGAGTGTCTAAGTGAGTGTCTAAGTATCTAAGTGAGTGTCTAAGTGTCTAAGTGAGTGTCTAAGTAAGTGAGTGTCTAAGTGAGTGTCTAAGTCAATGTCTAAGTGAGTGTCTAAGTGTCTAAGTGAGTGTCTAAGTGTCTGAGTGAGTGTCTAAGTGTCTAAGTGAGTGAGTGTCTAAGTGAGTGTCTAAGTGAGTGTCTAAGTGTCTAAGTGAGCATCTAAGTAAGTGTCTAAGTGACTAAGTGAGTGTCTAAGTGACTAAGTGAGTGTCTAAGTGTCTAAGTGTCTAAGTGAGTGAGTGTCTAAGTGAGTGTCTAAGTGAGTGTCTAAGTGTCTAAGTGAGTGTCTAAGTGTCTACTTGACTAAGTGAGTGTCTAAGTGAGTGTCTAAGTGACTGAGTGAGTGCCTAAGTGTCTAAGTGAGTGTCTAAGTGAGTGTCTAAGTGTCTAAGTGAGTGTCTAAGTGTCTACTTGACTAAGTGAGTGTCTAAGTGAGTGTCTAAGTGACTGAGTGAGTGCCTAAGTGTCTAAGTGAGTGTCTAAGTGAGTGTCTAAGTGAGTGTCTACGTGTCTAAGTGAGTGTCTAAGTGTCTAAGTGGGTGTCTAAGTGTCTACTTGACTAAGTGAGTGTCTAAGTGAGTGTCTAAGTGACTAAGTGAGTGTCTAAGTGTCTAAGTGTCTGAGTGAGTGAGTGTCTAAGTGAGTGTCTAAGTGTCTAAGTGAATGTCTAAGTGTCTACTTGACTAAGTGAGTGTCTAAGTGAGTGTCTAAGTGACTGAGTGAGTGCCGAAGTGTCTAAGTGAGTGTCTAAGTGAGTGTCTAAGTGTCTAAGTGAGTGTCTAAGTGAGTGTCTAAGTGAGTGTCTAAGTGTCTAAGTGAGTGTCTAAGTGTCTAAGTGAGTGTCTAAGTGTCCAAGTGAGTGTCTAAGTGAGTGTCTAAGTGAGTGTCTAAGTGTCTGAGTGTCAAAGTGAGTGTCTAAGTAAGTGAGTGTCCAAGTGAGTGTCTAAGTGTCTAAGTGAGTGTCTAAGTAAGTGAGTGTCTAAGTGTCTAAGTGAGTGTCTAAGTGTCTAAGTGGTTGTCTAAGTGTCTAAGTGAGTGTCTAAGTGAGTGTCTGAGTGTCTAAGTGAGTGTCTAAGTGAGTGTCTAATTGAGTGTCTAAGTGAGTGTCTAAGTGAGTGAGTGTCTAAGTGAGTGTCTAAGTGTCTAAGTGACTGAGTGAGTGTCTAAGTGACTAAGTGAGTGTCTAAGTGAGTGTCTAAGTGTCTAAGTGAGTGTCTAAGTGTCTAAGTGAGTGTCTAAGTGAGTGTCTAAGTGTCTAAGTGAGTGTCTAAGTGACTAATTGAGTGTCTAAGTGAGTGTTTAAGTGACTAAGTGAGTGTCTAAGTGTCTAAGTGAGTGTCTAAGTGAGTGTCTAAGTGTCTAAGTGAGTGCCTAAGTGTCTAAGTGAGTGTCTAAGTGTGTGTCTAAGTGAGTGTCTAAGTGACTGAGTGAGTGTCTAAGTGTCTAAGTGAGTGTCTAAGTGTCCAAATGAGTGTCTAAGTGAGTGTCTAAGTGAGTGTCTAAGTGAGTGTCTAAGTGTCTAAGTGAGTGTCTAAGTGTCTAAGTGAGTGTCTAAGTGTGTGTCTAAGTGAGTGTCTAAGTGACTGAGTGAGTGTCTTAGTGAGTGTCTAAGTGAGTGTCTAAGTGAGTGTCCAAGTGAGTGTCTAAGTGACTGAGTGAGTGTCTAAGTGAGTGTCTAAGTGTCTAAGTGAGTGTCTAAGTGAGTGTCTAAGTGAGTGTCTAAGTGTCTAAGTGAGTGTCTAAGTGTCTAAGTGAGTGAGTGTCTAAGTGAGTGTCTAAGTGAGTGTCTAAGTGTCTAAGTGAGTGTCTAAGTGTCTACTTGACTAAGTGAGTGTCTAAGTGAGTGTCTAAGTGACTGAGTGAGTGTCTAAGTGTCTACTTGACTAAGTGAGTGTCTAAGTGAGTGTCTAAGTGAGTGTCTAAGTGAGTGTCTACGTGTCTAAGTGAGTGTCTAAGTGTCTAAGTGAGTGTCTAAGTGTCTACTTGACTAAGTGAGTGTCTAAGTGAGTGTCTAAGTGACTAAGTGAGTGTCTAAGTGTCTAAGTGTCTGAGTGAGTGAGTGTCTAAGTGAGTGTCTAAGTGAGTGTCTAAGTGTCTAAGTGAATGTCTAAGTGTCTACTTGACTAAGTGAGTGTCTAAGTGAGTGTCTAAGTGACTGAGTGAGTGCCGAAGTGTCTAAGTGAGTGTCTAAGTGAGTGTCTAAGTGTCTAAGTGAGTGTCTAAGTGAGTGTCTAAGTGAGTGTCTAAGTGTCTAAGTGAGTGTCTAAGTGTCTAAGTGAGTGTCTAAGTGTCCAAGTGAGTGTCTAAGTGAGTGTCTAAGTGAGTGTCTAAGTGTCTGAGTGTCAAAGTGAGTGTCTAAGTAAGTGAGTGTCCAAGTGAGTGTCTAAGTGTCTAAGTGAGTGTCTAAGTAAGTGAGTGTCTAAGTGTCTAAGTGGTTGTCTAAGTGTCTAAGTGAGTGTCTAAGTGAGTGTCTGAGTGTCTAAGTGAGTGTCTAAGTGAGTGTCTAATTGAGTGTCTAAGTGAGTGTCTAAGTGAGTGAGTGTCTAAGTGAGTGTCTAAGTGTCTAAGTGACTGAGTGAGTGTCTAAGTGACTAAGTGAGTGTCTAAGTGAGTGTCTAAGTGTCTAAGTGAGTGTCTAAGTGTCTAAGTGAGTGTCTAAGTGAGTGTCTAAGTGTCTAAGTGAGTGTCTAAGTGACTAATTGAGTGTCTAAGTGAGTGTTTAAGTGACTAAGTGAGTGTCTAAGTGTCTAAGTGAGTGTCTAAGTGAGTGTCTACGTGTCTAGGTGAGTGCCTAAGTGTCTAAGTGAGTGTCTAAGTGTCCAAATGAGTGTCTAAGTGAGTGTCTAAGTGAGTGTCTAAGTGAGTGTCTAAGTGAGTGTCTAAGTGTCTAAGTGAGTGTCTAAGTGTGTGTCTAAGTGAGTGTCTAAGTGACTGAGTGAGTGTCTAAGTGAGTGTCTAAGTGAGTGTCTAAGTGAGTGTCCAAGTGAGTGTCTAAGTGACTGAGTGAGTGTCTAAGTGAGTGTCTAAGTGTCTAAGTGAGTGTCTAAGTGAGTGTCTAAGTGAGTGTCTAAGTGTCTAAGTGAGTGTCTAAGTGTCTAAGTGAGTGTCTAAGTGAGTGTCTAAGTGAGTGTCTAAGTGACTGAGTGAGTGTCTAAGTGAGTGTCTAAGTGAGTGTCTAAGTGACTGAGTGAGTATCTAAGTGAGTGTCTAAGTGAGTGTCTAAGTGTCTAAGTGAGTGTCTAAGTGAGTGTCTAAGTGTCTAAGTGAGTGTCTAAGTGAGTGTCTAAGTGAGTGTCTAAGTGACTGAGTGAGTGTCTAAGTGAGTGTCTAAGTGAGTGTCTAAGTGACTGAGTGAGTATCTAAGTGAGTGTCTAAGTGAGTGTCTAAGTGTCTAAGTGAGTGTCTAAGTGAGTGTCTAAGTGTCTAAGTGAGTGTCTAAAGTGAGTGTCTAAGTGAGTGTCTAAGTGTTTAAGTGAGTGTCTAAGGGAGTGTCTAAGTGAGTGTCTAAGTGTCTAAGTGAGTGTCTAAGTGAGTGTCTAAGTGACTGAGTGAGTGTCTAAGTGAGTGTCTAAGTGAGTGTCTAAGTGACTGAGTGAGTGTCTAAGTGAGTGTCTAAGTGTCTAAGTAAGTGTCTAAGTGAGTGTCTAAGTGTCTAAGTAAGTGTCTAAGTGAGTGTCTAAGTGAGTGTCTGCTCACGTCACGTTAGTCCGCAGTTGGACTATCCGCTGTCCAGGCGAGGGGAAGGCTCTCGTGTCCACGTAGGCCACGTGGCGCAGGGCCTCTGAGAAAGCCTCTGGGTCTCCTAGGTCATCCTGTAGGGTCACGGAGAGCTGGGAGGCACTCACGTGTACCTGTGGGAGACAGAGAGTGGTTATAGTACCAGTACTACTACTATAGTACCAGTACTATAGTAGTAGTACTATAGTAGTACTATAGTCTCAGGGTCTCCTAGGTCATCCTGTAGGGTCACGGAGAGCTGGGAGGCACTCACGTGTACCTGTGGGAGACACACGGTGGTTATAGTACCAGTACTACTACTATAGTACCAGTACTATAGTAGTAGTACTATAGTCTCTGGGTCTCCTAGGTCATCCTGTAGGGTCACGGAGAGCTGGGAGGCACTCACGTGTACCTGTGGGAGACACACGGTGGTTATAGTACCAGTACTACTACTATAGTACCAGTACTATAGTAGTAGTACTATAGTAGTACTATAGTCTCTGGGTCTCCTAGGTCATCCTGTAGGGTCACGGAGAGCTGGGAGGCACTCACATGTACCTGTGGGAGACACACGGTGGTTATAGTACCAGTACTACTACTATAGTACCAGTACTATAGTAGTAGTACTATAGTCTCAGGGTCTCCTAGGTCATCCTGTAGGGTCACGGAGAGCTGGGACGCACTCACGTGTACCTGTGGGAGACACACGGTGGTTATAGTACCAGTACTACTACTATAGTACCAGTACTATAGTAGTAGTACTATAGTAGTACTATAGTCTCAGGGTCTCCTAGGTCATCCTGTAGGGTCACGGAGAGCTGGGAGGCACTCACATGTACCTGTGGGAGACACACGGTGGTAATAGTACCAGTACTATAGTAGTACTATAGTAGTACTATAGTCTCAGGGTCTCCTAGGTCATCCTGTAGGGTCACGGAGAGCTGGGACGCACTCACGTGTACCTGTGGGAGACAGAGAGTGGTTATAGTACCAGTACTATAGTAGTACTATAGTAGTACTATAGTAGTACTATAGTCTCAGGGTCTCCTAGGTCATCCTGTAGGGTCACGGAGATCTGAGACGCACTCACGTGTACCTGTGGGAGACACACGGTGGTTATAGTACCAGTACTACTACTATAGTACCAGTACTATAGTAGTACTATAGTCTCAGGGTCTCCTAGGTCATCCTGTAGGGTCACGGAGAGCTGGGAGGCACTCACATGTACCTGTGGGAGACACACGGTGGTTATAGTACCAGTACTACTACTATAGTACCAGTACTATAGTAGTAGTACTATAGTCTCAGGGTCTCCTAGGTCATCCTGTAGGGTCACGGAGAGCTGGGACGCACTCACATGTACCTGTGGGAGACAGAGAGTGGTTATAGTACCAGTACTACTATAGTACCAGTACTATAGTACCAGTACTATAGTAGTACTATAGTCTCTGGGTCTCCTAGGTCATCCTGTAGGGTCACGGAGAGCTGGGAGGCACTCACATGTACCTGTGGGAGACACACGGTGGTTATAGTACCAGTACTACTACTATAGTACCAGTACTATAGTAGTAGTACTATAGTAGTACTATAGTCTCAGGGTCTCCTAGGTCATCCTGTAGGGTCACGGAGAGCTGGGACGCACTCACGTGTACCTGTGGGAGACAGAGAGTGGTTATAGTACCAGTACTACTACTATAGTACCAGTACTATAGTAGTAGTACTATAGTAGTACTATAGTCTCAGAGTCTCCTAGGTCATCCTGTAGGGTCACGGAGAGCTGGGACGCACTCACGTGTACCTGTGGGAGACAGAGAGTGGTTATAGTACCAGTACTACTACTATAGTACCAGTACTATAGTAGTAGTACTATAGTAGTACTATAGTCTCAGGGTCTCCTAGGTCATCCTGTAGGGTCACGGAGAGCTGGGACGCACTCACATGTACCTGTGGGAGACACACGGTGGTTATAGTACCAGTACTACTACTATAGTACCAGTACTATAGTAGCAGTACTATAGTAGTACTATAGTCTCAGGGTCTCTTAGGTCATCCTGTAGGGTCACGGAGAGCTGGGACGCACTCACGTGTACCTGTGGGAGACACACGGTGGTTATAGTACCAGTACTACTACTATAGTACCAGTACTATAGCAGTAGTACTATAGTAGTACTATAGTCTCAGGGTCTCCTAGGTCATCCTGTAGGGTCACGGAGAGCTGGGAGGCACTCACATGTACCTGTGGGAGACAGAGAGTGGTTATAGTACCAGTACTACTACTATAGTACCAGTACTATAGTACTACTACTATAGTACCAGTACTATAGTAGTAGTACTATAGTAGTACTATAGTGTCCGGGTCTCCTAGGTCATCCTGTAGGGTCACGGAGAGCTGGGACGCACTCACGTGTACCTGTGGGAGACACACGGTGGTTATAGTACCAGTACTACTACTATAGTACCAGTACTATAGTAGTACTATAGTAGTACTATAGTCTCAGGGTCTCCTAGGTCATCCTGTAGGGTCACGGAGAGCTGAGAGGCACTCACGTGTACCTGTGGGAGACACATGGTGGTTATAGTACCAGTACTACTACTATAGTACCAGTACTATAGTAGTAGTACTATAGTCTCAGGGTCTCCTAGGTCATCCTGTAGGGTCACGGAGAGCTGGGACGCACTCACGTGTACCTGTGGGAGACACACGGTGGTTATAGTACCAGTACTATATAGTACTAATATATTAGTACTATATAGTACTACTACTGTAGTACTATATAGTACTATATAGTACTATAGTACTTTAGTAGGATCAGCACCTTCATGCCCTGGCTGAGGGAGGTTGTAAATGCGTCTACTACTATAGTACTAGTAGTACTATAGTACTAGTACTATAGTAGTAGTGCTATAGTACTTTAGTAGGATCAGTACCTTCATGCCCTGGCTGAGCGAGGTGGTGAAGGCCTCCAGCTCCAGATACTCGAGGCAGCGCTGGGCACAGCCAATCAGACTACTACTACTACTATAGTACTAGTACTATAGATCTAGTACTATAGTAGTAGTACTATAGTAGTAGTAGTACTATAGTACTTTAGTAGGATCAGTACCTTCATGCCCTGGCTGAGCGAGGTGGTGAAGGCCTCCAGCTCCAGATACTCGAGGCAGCGCTGGGCACAGCCAATCAGACTACTACTACTACTATAGTACTAGTACTATAGTAGTAATAGTACTATAGTACTTTAGTAGGATCAGTACCTTCATGCCCTGGCTGAGCGAGGTGGTGAAGGCCTCCAACTCCAGATACTCGAGGCAGCGCTGGGCACAGCCAATCAGACTACTACTACTACTATAGTACTAGTACTATAGTAGTAATAGTACTATAGTACTTTAGTAGGATCAGTACCTTCATGCCCTGGCTAAGCGAGGTGGTGAAGGCCTCCAGCTCCAGATACTCGAGGCAGCGCTGGGCACAGCCAATCAGACTACTACTACTACTATAGTACTAGTACTATAGTAGTAGTACTATAGTACTTTAGTAGGATCAGTACCATCATGCCCTGGCTAAGCGAGGTGGTGAAGGCCTCTAGCTCCAGATACTCCAAACAGCGCTGGGCACAGCCAATCAGACTACTACTACTATAGTACTAGTACTATAGTAGTAGTACTATAGTACTTTAGTAGGATCAGTACCTTCATGCCCTGGCTGAGCGAGGTGGTGAAGGCCTCCAGCTCCAGATACTCGAGGCAGCGCTGGGCACAGCCAATCAGACTACTACTACTACTATAGTACTAGTACTATAGTAGTAGTAGTAGTACTATAGTACTTTAGTAGGATCAGTACCTTCATGCCCTGGCTAAGCGAGGTGGTGAAGGCCTCCAGCTCCAGATACTCGAGGCAGCGCTGGGCACAGCCAATCAGACGCCGGCTGTCAGTCGCTCCAGCGCGCAGGATGACGCGGGTCAGCTCGGTGTCACGTAGGTGGTGAGAGGTGAGAGGCTCTGGTGAGGAACAGGGTGAGTGGGTGAGTGGGTGGGTGAGTGGGGGGGTGGGTGGGTGAGTGGGTGGGTGAGTGGGTGAGTGGGTGAGTGGGTGGGTGAGTGGGTGGGTGAGTGGGTGAGTGGGTGGGTGAGTGGGTGAGTGGGTGAGTGGGTGGGTGGGTGAGTGAGTGGGTGAGTGGGTGGGTGAGTGGGTGAGTGGGTGGGTGAGTGAGTGGGTGGGTGAGTGGGTGAGTGGGTGGGTGAGTGAGTGGGTGGGTGAGTGAGTGGGTGGGAGGGTGAGTGAGTGGGTGGGAGGGTGAGTGAGTGGGTGGGTGGGTGAGTGAGTGGGTAGGTGGGAGGGTGGGTGGGTGAGTGAGTGAGTGGGTGGGTGAGTGGGTGGGTGAGTGGGTGAGTGGGGGAGTGAATGAGTGAGTGGGTCAGTAGGTGGGTGAGTGGGTGAGTGAGTGAGTGGGTGGGTGGGTGAATGGGTGAGTGAGTGAGTGGGTGGGTGAGTGGGTGAGTGAGTGAGTGGGTGAGTGAGTGGGTGAGTGGGTGAGTGAGTGAGTGAGTGGGTTTTTGGGTGAGTGAGTGAGTGAGTGGGTGAGTGAGTGAGTGAGTGGGTGAGTGAGTGAGTGAGTGGGTGAGTGAGTGAGTGGGCGAGTGAGTGGGTGAGTGAGTGGGTGAGTGAGTGGATGAGTGAGTGAGTGGGTGAGTGAGTGGGCGAGTGAGTGGGTGAGTGAGTGAGTGAGTGGGCGAGTGAGTGGCTGAGTGAGTGGTTGAGTGAGTGGGTGAGTGAGTGAGTGAGTGAATGAGTGAGTGAGTGGGTGGGTGGGTGAGTAAGTGGGTGAGTGAGTGAGTGGGTGAGTGAGTGGGTGAGTGGGTGAGTGAGAGAGTGAGTGGGTGAGTGATGGAATGAGTGAGTGAGTGAGTGAATGATTGAGGGAGCGGGTGAGTGAGTGAGTGAATGGGTGAGAGAGTGGGTGAGTGAATGACTGAGTGAATGAGTGAGTGGCTGAGGGAGTGGGTGAGTGAGTGGGTGAGTGGGTGAGTGAGTGAGTGGGTGAGTGAGTGGATGAGTGAGTGCGTGGGTGAATGAGTGGATGAGTGAGTGGGTGGTTGAGTGAGTGAGTGGGTGAGTGAGTGGGTGAATGAGTGAGTGAGTGGGTGAGTGAGTTAGTGGGTGAGTGAATGAGTGAGTGAATGAGTGAGTGGGTCAGTAGGTGGGTGAGTGGGTGAGTGAGTGGGTGGGTGGGTGAATGGGTGAGTGAGTGAGTGGGTGGGTGAGTGGGTGAGTGAGTGAGTGGGTGAGTGAGTGGGTGAGTGGGTGAGTGAGTGAGTGAGTGGGTTTTTGGGTGAGTGAGTGAGTGGGTGAGTGAGTGAGTGAGTGGGTGAGTGAGTGAGTGGGTGAGTGAGTGAGTGAGTGGGCGAGTGAGTGGGTGAGTGAGTGGGTGAGTGAGTGGATGAGTGAGTGAGTGGGTGAGTGAGTGGGCGAGTGAGTGGGTGAGTGAGTGAGTGAGTGGGCGAGTGAGTGGCTGAGTGAGTGGTTGAGTGAGTGGGTGAGTGAGTGGGTGAGTGAGTGAGTGAATGAGTGAGTGAGTGGGTGGGTGAGTAAGTGGGTGAGTGAGTGAGTGGGTGAGTGAGTGGGTGAGTGGGTGAGTGAGAGAGTGAGTGGGTGAGTGATGGAATGAGTGAGTGAGTGAGTGAATGATTGAGGGAGTGGGTGAGTGAGTGAGTGAATGGGTGAGAGAGTGGGTGAGTGAATGAGTGAGTGAATGAGTGAGTGGCTGAGGGAGTGGGTGAGTGAGTGGGTGAGTGGGTGAGTGAGTGAGTGGGTGAGTGAGTGGATGAGTGAGTGCGTGGGTGAATGAGTGGATGAGTGAGTGGGTGGGTGAGTGAGTGAGTGAGTGGATGAGTGAGTGGGTGAATGAGTGAGTGAGTGAGTGGGTGAGTGAGTGAGTGAGTGGGTGAGTGAATGAGTGAGTGAATGAGTGAGTTGGGTCAACCTGTATGGGTCGATCCATTCCTGTTCCTAGTCACATTACCACCTGCAGAGACAGCAAGGATCAGTCTTCAACTATAAACATCATCAACATCATCATCAACTGCATCATCAACTGCATCATCAACATCATCATCAACATCATCATCAACATCATCATCAACATCATCATCATCAACATCATCATCATGGTAGTGGGTAGTGATGGTGATGGTGGTGATGGTGGTAGTGGGTAGTGAGGGTAGTGATGGTAGTGATGGAGGTGATGGTGGTAGTGATGGTGATGGTAGTGATGGTGATGGTGGTTGGTAGTGATGGTGATGATGGTGGTGATGGTAGTGGGTAGTGATGGTGGTGATGGTGGTGATGGTAGTGGGTAGTGATGTTGGTAGTGGGTAGTGATGGTGATGGTGGTGATGGTGATGGTGGTAGTGATGGTAGTGATGGTGTTGGTGGTAGTGATGGTAGTTATGGTAGTGATGGTAGTGATGGTGATGGTGGTAGTGATGGCAGTGATGGTAGTGATGGTGATGATGGTAGTGATGGTAGTGATGGTGGTAGTGATGGTAGTGATGGTGGTGATGGTGGTGGTGGGTAGTGATGGTGGTAGTGATGGTGATGATGGTAGTGATGGTAGTGATGGTGATGGTGGTAGTGATGGCAGTGATGGTAGTGATGGTGATGATGGTAGTGATGGTGATGATGGTAGTGATGGTGATGGTGGTAGTGATGGTAGTGATGGTGGTGATGGTGGTGGTGGGTAGTGATGGTAGTGATGGTGATGGTAGTGATGGTGGTGATGGTGGTAGTGGGTAGTGATGGTGATGGTGGTAGTGGGTAGTGATGGTGGTGATGGTGGTAGTGATGGTGGTGATGGTGATGATGGTAGTGATGGTAATGATGATGGTGATGATGGTGGTGATGGTAGTGATGGTGATGATGGTAGTGATGGTAATGATGATGGTGATGATGGTAGTGGGTAGTGATGGTAGTGATGGTAGTGATGGTGGTGATGATGGTAGTGATGGTAGTGATGGTGGTAGTGGGTAGTGATGGTAGTGATGGTAGTGATGGTAGTGATGGTGATGATGGTGGTGATGGTAGTGATGGTGGTGATGATGGTAGTGATGGTAGTGATGGTAGTGATGGTGATGGTGGTAGTGGGTAGTGATGGTAGTGATGGTGATGGTAGTGATGGTAGTGATGGTGATGCTGGTGGTGATGGTAGTGATGGTGGTGATGATGGTAGTGATGGTAGTGATGGTGATGCCCGGTGTTCACGAGCACGGGTCTGAGACATGTCGCCGAGTTTTAATGTCGTGTGAGTCAACCACTTTACAACAACAACAACAACAACTATCAGTTATAGAATTAGGTTTTACCCTTTTTAACTGGCACAAAAACTGACACCTTTATTCAAGGCATCATGTTTGCAATAACCACAACACAAGCAGTCAAAATGCAATAAAAAAAAGACAACTCTGATAATAATAATAATAATAATATTGGCACTGTCCTTGAATTTGATTGGTCCACACCCGAGACGGCTTTTCTTAGAGCCTAGTCTCTCCGCTGGTGTTGGACCAGAAGACGCCACAAGGCGTACAACTCAAAAACAGCGCACCATCAGAGTACTGAGGGCTCGGGGTGAGCCTTTACATTATGACACCTCCATTGCCAGTAACAAGATATAGTAATAGGTTTTTACCCTTTTAACTGGCACAAAAACTGACAACCATCAGCCACAGCCGAGGGATCGGTCCGCCCGTGTTTCCGATCCTGCCGGTGTTCACGAGCACGGGTCTGAGACATGTAGCCGAGTTTCAATGTCGTGTGAGTCAACCACTCTACAACAACAACAACAACCATCAGCCACGGCCGAGGGATCGGTCCGCCCGTGTTTCCGATCCGCCCGGTGTTCACGAGCACGGGTCTGAGACATGTAGCCGGGTTTCAATGTCGTGTGAGTCAACCACTCTACAACAACAACAACAACCATCAGCCACGGCCGAGGGATCGGTCCGCCCGTGTTTCCGATCCGCCCGGTGTTCACGAGCACGGGTCTGAGACATGTAGCCGGGTTTCAATGTCGTGTGAGTCAACCACTTTATAACAACAACAACAACAACAACCATCAGCCACGGCCGAGGGATCGGTCCGCCCGTGTTTCCGATCCGCCCGGTGTTCACGAGCACGGGTCTGAGACATGTAGCCGAGTTTCCCCGACGTTACTGCTGCCGCCGCCGGACGCAGCCTGGTCTGTGGGCGCCGGCGTTTCCGCATGTCAGGGGCGCAGAGAAAGTAAGGTGAAACATCTCGATTTGAAGCTTTCGTGACTGCAATGATTCATCTTCTTTGGTTCTTTCGGTAAAGTCACCACCACCGCGTAGAGTGAGAGTAATAAAATAATAAATTGATAAAATAAAATAACACGACAATAATATTCTCACGACGTTTCGGCCACAACACAAGCGGCCTTCATCAGGTGAAGGGGGCGAGACTGTCTGGTAGGACAGCGCTGGAGTGAAAGAGCCACGTTCAGAGGGCGCTTTGTTCCTCTCACAGCTTAAAGGTCGCGATCTGAACGTGGCTCTTTCACTCCAGCGCTGTCCTACCAGACAGTCTCGCCCCCTTCACCTGATGAAGGCCGCTTGTGTTGTGGCCGAAACGTCGTGAGAATTTTATTGTGTTATGTTATTTTATTTTATCAATTTATTATTTTATTCTCATTCTACGTGGTGGTGACTTTACCGAAAGAACCAAAGAAGATGAGGTGAAACATCTTGAAGAGTTCGACGTTTCGGTTGCGACGCCAGCAGCCGACATCAGGGAGGCCACGGACGACATGACACAGGCACGGGAACAACGTATCCAGAGGCAGGTGATGATGAGGCAGGTGATGATGAGGCACAGGATGCTGAGGCAGGTGATGCTGAGGCAGGTGATGCTGAGGCAGGTGATGCTGAGGCAGGTGATGCGGAGGCAGGTGATGCTGAGGCAGGTGATGCTGAGGCAGGTGATGCTGAGGCAGGTGATGCTGAGGCAGGTGATGCTGAGGCAGGTGATGCTGAGGCAGGTGATGCTGAGGCAGGTGATGAGGAGGCAGGTGATGTGGAGGCAGGTGATGATGAGGCAGGTGATGCTGAGGCAGGTGATGCTGAGGCAGGTGATGAGGAGGCACAGGATGCTGAGGCAGGTGATGCTGAGGCAGGTGATGATGAGGCAGGTGATGCTGAGGCAGGTGATGAGGAGGAGGCAGGTGATGCTGAGGCAGGTGATGCTGAGGCAGGTGATGCTGAGGCAGGTGATGATGAGGCAGGTGATGATGAGGCAGGTGATGAGGAGGCAGGTGATGATGAGGCAGGTGATGATGAGGCAGGTGATGATGAGGCAGGTGATGAGGAGGCAGGTGATGATGAGGCAGGTGATGAGGAGGAGGCAGGTGATGCTGAGGCAGGTGATGCTGAGGCAGGTGATGCTGAGGCAGGTGATGATGAGGCAGGTGATGATGAGGCAGGTGATGATGAGGCAGGTGATGATGAGGCAGGTGATGATGAGGCAGGTGATGATGAGGCAGGTGATGATGAGGCAGGTGATGATGAGGCAGGTGATGATGAGGCAGGTGATGCTGAGGCAGGTGATGATGAGGCAGGTGATGATGAGGCAGGTGATGATGAGGCAGGTGATGCTGAGGCAGGTGATGATGAGGCAGGTGATGCTGAGGCAGGTGATGATGAGGCAGGTGATGATGAGGCAGGTGATGCTGAGGCAGGTGATGATGAGGCAGGTGATGATGAGGCAGGTGATGATGAGGCAGGTGATGATGAGGCAGGTGATGCTGAGGCAGGTGATGATGAGGCAGGTGATGCTGAGGCAGGTGATGATGAGGCAGGTGATGCTGAGGCAGGTGATGATGAGGCAGGTGATGATGAGGCAGGTGATGATGAGGCAGGTGATGATGAGGCAGGTGATGATGAGGCAGGTGATGATGAGGCAGGTGATGATGAGGCAGGTGATGATGAGGCAGGTGATGATGAGGCAGGTGATGATGAGGCACGTGATGCACACCGAGGGAGTCACGCATGTGCTCCGCGTGTCCGCGTCTCGTCGCTCGTCACTCGCCTGACGGAGGCTGCCTGGGTGGCGACCGCAACGTCGCGCCACCAAAGAGTTAAAGCTTTGGTGACTGCATGAAATTACACTCGTTGGTGGCGCGTGTGTGTGTGCTTATTGTTGTTACGGCGTGAACCCACGTGTGTAGAAACACGATAAAGTAACGTCAAAACAAAAAAAACCAATCACGACTTTTTACATTATGAGACCTCCTTTGCCGGTGACAAGATATAGGAATAGGTTTTTACCCCTCTTTAACTGGCACAAAGAACTGACACCTTTTATTCAAGGCATCGCGTCTGCAATAACCACAACACACAAGCAGTAAAAATGCAAACAAAAGAGACAACTCTGATAATAATAATAATAATAATATTGGCACTGTCCTTGAATTTGATTGGTCCACCACACCCGAGACGGCTTTTCTTAGAGCCCTTAAGTCTCCATTGGTGTTGGACCAGAAGACGCCAAAAGGCGTACAACTCAAAAACAGCGCCACTATCAGAGTATTGAGGGCTCGGGGTGAGCATTAACATTGAGACCTCCATTGCCAGTAACAAGATATAGGAATAGGATTTACCCCTTTTTAACTGGCACAAAGAACTGACAACTTTTATTCAAGGCATCGCGTCTGCAATAACCACAACACACACGCAGTCAAAATGCCAACAAAAAAAGACAACTCTGATAATGATAATATTGGCACTGTCCTTGAATTTGATTGGTCCACCACACCCGAGACAGCTTTTCTTAGAGCCCTTAAGTCTCCATTGGTGTTGGACCAGAAGACGCCACAAGGCGTACAACTCAAAAACAGCGCCACTATCAGAGTACTGAGGGCTCGGGGTGAGCATTTACATTATGAGACCTCCTTTGCCAGTAACAAGATATAGAAATAGGTTTTTACCCCTTTTTAACTGGCACAACGAACTGACAACTTTATTCAAGGCATCGCGTCTGCAATAACCACAACACACACGCAGTCAAAATGCAAACAAAAAGAGACAACTCTGATAATAATAATAATAATATTGGCACTGTCCTTGAATTTGATTGGTCCACCACACCCGAGACAGCTTTTCTTAGAGCCCTTAAGTCTCCATTGGTGTTGGACCAGAAGACGCCAAAAGGCGTACAACTCAAAAACAGCGCCACTATCAGAGTACTGAGGGCTCGGGGTGAGCATTTACATTATGAGACCTCCATTGCCAGTAACAAGATATAGGAATAGGATTTACCCCTTTTTAACTGGCACAAATAACTGACACCTTTTATTCAAGGCATCACGTCTGCAATAACCACAACACACACGCAGTAAAAATGCAAACAAAAGAGACAACTCTGATAATAATAATAATAATATTGGCACTGTCCTTGAATTTGATTGGTCCACCACACCCGAGACAGCTTTTCTTAGAGCCCTTTAGTCTCCATTGGTGTTGGACCAGAAGACGCCACAAGGCGTACAACTCAAAAACAGCGCCACTATCAGAGTATTGAGGGCTCGGGGTGAGCATTTACATTATGAGACCTCCATTGCCAGTAACAAGATATAGGAATAGGATTTACCCCTCTTTAACTGGCACAACGAACTGACACCTTTTATTCAAGGCATCGCGTCTGCAATAACCACAACACACAAGCAGTAAAAATGCAAACAAAAGAGACAACTCTGATAATAATAATAATATTGGCACTGTCCTTGAATTTGATTGGTCCACACCCGAGACGCCTTTTGGCGCCTTCTGGTCCAACACCAGCGGAGAGACTAAAGGGCTCTAAAGAAAAGCCGTCTTTGGGTGTGGACCAATCAAATTCAAGGACGGTGCCAATATTATTATTATTATTATCATCAGAGTTGTGTTTTTGTTTGCATTTTGACTGCTTGTGTGTTGTGGTTATTGCAGACACGATGCCTTGAATAAAAGGTGTCGGTTTTTTGTGCCAGTTAAAAGGGGGTAAAAACCTATTACTATAACAATCATGACGTTTCTATCGCAACGCAAAGCGATCTTCATCAGGCGTCAAGAAGAAATCACGGCGGCAAATACAGCGAGAGGATGAGAGACGAGAATTCAACTAACCTGAGAAACGCATTGTACGTGAAGCGCATCCAGTCAGGCCAACATCACAGTTAGACACTTACCTGGGGGACCACGGATTTCAGAGGAGTGCTAAATTTCGCGTTCAACCTCTGGATTGCACATCCCAGCGTAGACAGAGTGAAAAAAATACGAGGTACAAAGTCAGCAGAAATATAAATATATATATACACAGGCCCACCAAGAGGTAAGGAGGGAGGAAAGACGGACAGAGAGGCAAGGAGAGAGAGACAGAGAGAGGGCCGGAGGGACAAACCCGAAGCCTTATTTCCTATTTAAGGCTTCGGGTTCGTCCCTCCGGCCCTTTCTCTCTCTCTCTCCTTGCCTCTCTGTCCGTCTTTCCTCCCTCCTTACCTCTCGTATTTGTTCACTCTGTCTATGCCGGTGTGTTCAATCCAGAGGATGAATGCGAAACTGAACGCTCTCCTGAAATCCGTGGACCCCCAGGTAAGTGTCTAACTGTGTTGTTGGCCTGACTGGATGTGCTTCACGTACAATGTGTTTCTCAGGTTAGTTGAATTCTCGTCTCTCATCCTCTCGCTGTATTTACCGCCGTGATTTGTTCCTGACGCCTGACGAAGATCGCTTTGCGTTGCGATCGAAACGTCGTGATTGTTTTTTTGTTTTGACGTTACTTTATTGCATTTCTACATACGTGACTTTACCGGAAAAAAAAAAACACAATGAGTAATTTTATGCAGTCACGAAAGCTTTAATAATTTATTATCGCACTTCTACGGGGAAGTTACCGTTGTAATTACGTGTAAGATGTGCCCCTTTTTTGAGCTGCCGTTTTTGTATTTACAAGAGGTGGTCCTTTTTTGAGCTGCCGTTTTTGTATTTACAAGAGGTGGCCCTTTTTTGAGCTGCCGTTTTTGTATATACAAGAGGTGGTCCTTTTTTGAGCTGCCGTTTTGTATTCACAAGAGGTGGTCCTTTTTTGAGCTGCCGTTTTGTATTCACAAGAGGTGGTCATTTTTTGAGCTGCCGTTTTGTATTCACAAGAGGTGGTCCTTTTTTGAGCTGCCGTTTTTGTATTTACAAGAGGTGGTCCTTTTTTGAGCTGCCGTTTTTGTATTCACAAGAGGTGGTCCTTTTTTGAGCTGCCGTTTTTGTATATACAAGAGGTGGTCCTTTTTTGAGCTGCCGTTTTGTATTCACAAGAGGTGGTCCTTTTTTGAGCTGCCGTTTTGTATTCACAAGAGGTGGCCCTTTTTTGAGCTGCCGTTTTTGTATTTACAAGAGGTGGCCCTTTTTTGAGCTGCCGTTTTTGTATATACAAGAGGTGGCCCTTTTTTGAGCTGCCGTTTTGTATTCACAAGACGTGGTCATTTTTTGAGCTGCCGTTTTGTCTGTGTAAGATGTTGCGTGTTTGAGCTGCCGCTACCGCTCTGGCCCCTCATCCCCTACAACCGTATTTAATATTTAAGCTTCTGTTCATCCCTCCGGCCCCCCCCCCCCCCCTCTCTCTCTCTGCCTCCCTGTCCGTCTTTCCTCCCTCCTTACCTTTTGGTGGACTTGTATATGTATTTCTACTGACCGTGTACCTCGTATTTTTTTCACTCTGTCTACGCTGGGATGTGCAATCCAAAGGTTGAACACGAAACGTAACGCTCTTCTGAAATCCGTGGTCCCCCAGGTAAGTGTCTAACTGTGTTGTTGGCCTGACTGGATGCGCTTCACGTACAATGTGTTTCTCAGGTTAGTTGAATTCTCGTCTCTCATCCTCTGGCTGTATTTACCGCCGTGATTTGTTCCTGACGCCTGATGAAGATCGCTTTGCGTTGCGATCGAAACGTCGTGATTGTTTTTTTGTTTTGACGTTACTTTATCGTATTTCCACACACGTGACTTCACATCGTAGCATATTAATGTTTCACTTTAGTTGTTACGCGACTTTACCTGCAGTCACGGATCAGGAATTGTATGCACCGTGTTAAATCGAACGTGGATCTTGTGTTTGCTTCGTGATTTTGAAAGGCTTTTTGGTGACCCCCCCTGCTAAGTAAGGAAAGGTGATGGTTTTGATTTGGTCCTCAGATGGTTCAATCGCAACGCTTGGGGTGTGGAGTCTCAATATCCATTCGTCTTGAGAGCTTGGTGTACGTGTTCCAGTTCGCTGGCTCGGTGATGATGGTCGGAAATAAATCGACCTGCTGTAGACCAGGCGAGGTGGTCAACATCTCACAGGGTCCGGGATCGAACCCACGACCTCCTGTAGACCAGGCGAGGTAGTCAACATCTCACAGTGTCCGGGATCGAACCCACGACCTCCTGTAGACCAGGCGAGGTAGTCAACATCTCACAGGGTTCGGGATCGAACCCACGACCTCCTGTATACCAGGCGAGGTAGTCAACATCTCACAGTGTCCGGGATCAAACCCACGACCTCCTGTACACCAGGCGAGGTAGTCAACATCTCACAGGGTCCGGGATCGAACCCACAACCTCCTGTAGACCAGGCGAGGTAGTTGTGGTTGTTGTGGTGGTGGTGGTGATTGTGGTGGTTGTTGTTATGATTGTAGTTGTGGTTGTAGTTGTGGTTGTAATTGTGGTTGTTGTGGTTGTAGCTGTGGCTGTTGTGGTTGTGGTTGTAGTTGTGGTTGTAGTTGTGGTTGTAGTTGTTGTAGTTGTTGTTGTTGTGGTTGTAGTTGTGGCTGTTGGTGCTGTGGTTGTAGTTGTGGTTGTAGTTGTGGTTGTAGTTGTTGTAGTTGTTGTTGTTGTGGTTGTAGTTGTGGTTGTTGTGGCTGTGGTTGTGTCCGCACTCTGTCTCTCTCTGTACGTCACCTGTAATGCAGCCCCCGACTGCGACTGCGATGTTGTTGTTGTGGTTGTGGTTGTTGTTGTTGTGGTTGTTGTTGTTGCTGGTTGAGGGCCACTCGTCCGACACCTGGTAGGGGTCGACCGGCGCCCCGTCCACGAACAGCGACACGGCCGGCCACAGCACGCTCAGCGTGTAGGTGTGCCATAGGCCGTCACACAGCTACGAGAGGTCAGCCACAACATCAACACCACAACAACAACACAACAACATCAACAACACCACCACCAGAACAACAACACAACAACAACAACACAACAACAACACAACAACACCACCACAACAACAACACAACACCACCACAACAACAACACAACAACACAACACCACCACAACAACAACACCACCACAACAACAACCACAGCACGCTCAGCGTGTAGGTGTGCCATAGGCCGTCACACAGCTACGAGAGGTCAGCCACAACACGCATTGGGGGAGAGCCACAACAGCAACACCACCACAACAACACCACCACAACAACACAACAACACAACAACACCTGGGGAGTAGTCACAACAACACAACACCACCACAACAACACAACAACAACACAACAACACCACCACAACAACAACAACAACAACACAACAACACCACCACAACAACAACACAACAACACAACAACAACAACACAACAACACAACAGCACCTGGGGAGTAGTCACAACAACACCACAACAACACAACAACAACACCACAACAACACAACAACAACACCACAACAACACCACAACAACACCACCACAACACAACAACACCTGGCGAGTAGTCACAACAACATCACCACCGCCACCAACACACACAACAACCGCCATTCACCACTAAAGTGGCAGTGATGTCACCACGACGCTTGTGCCAGGCTATGTGCACCTTGAGGCCACGTGAAGTGTCGAACGCCCGCTGGCAGGAGGTCACGGGGCAGACCCAGCAGGTGCCACGGGTCGAATGACTGAGATGACTGGCTGATGCACCACCTGTGCCCCCTACTGTGCCAACCTGCTGTGCTTTAGCCACCCGGCACTCCGCTCGTTGTTGTGAGCGTCGCTCCTCCGCCCTCCGTTGTTGTTGGAGGGCGACTGCTAGCTAGCTTACGAAATGTAAGCTAGCCTGCCTGTTTCGTAAGCGTAGAGAAGGGAGGGAATGACCGTGGCCGAGAAGACCTGAAGCTTCGTGCGGAGCGACAGACCAGGTAGCTTCCACACAGCGTTACGCAACCGATGAAAAGATATTGCCGCTCGACTGATTCGGAATGAGACCTCTGCTGTCAAAACGGAGCCGATCATAAGCACACTGCCCAGGTATGGGAAACTCTCCACTCTCTCCACAACTGCCCCAACACCAATTGGGAGTTGTGGGGGTGGAGTGTCCGATGGTACAAAATACCCAGGCAGGTGCTTAGCTTTGGTGGGGCTGATGGTAAGGCCCCACCTCTTAGTGGCACGCTCCAGTCTCAGCAGCAGCGTCTCCAACTCCTCCTCTGAATGAGCAGCTATTACCAGGTCATCGGCATACATAACGTGGTTGAGCAATAGGGAGCCATCCCTTGACCGCACCCGGGCATCGATCAGCCTCCCATTATATCTGTACCATATGGAGATTCCCCCGGTACAGCTATCGAAGGCTTCACGAACTACGTGGTCAAAATAGATGTTAAATAATGTGGGAGCCAGAGGACATCCCTGTCGCACCCCAAGGTGTACAGGGAATGGCTCTGACTCCCGGCCACGTAGTGTTACCCGGGCCCGCTCACCATCATGAAGGTCCTTAATGATCGTGAGCAGAGGGTCAGGGACTCCGAAAGCACGAAGAACAACCCAGAGCCCAGACCTATTGATGGTATCATAGGCCTTGACCAGGTCAATAAAGCAGAGATGTAGGTCTTGTTGGAATTCCCTACAACTCTGCTGTAGCAGAAGGACGGAAAATATGGCATCTGTGCAGGACCGCCCTTTCCTGAAACCGCATTGGGGCTCCGCAAGCCTCTCCTCAGCGTGCCTGGCAAGGCGATGTTGAATAACCCTTGACAGGACCTTTCCCGTCACACTGAGGAGTGAGATGCCCCTGTAGTTGTTACAGTCTGGGTGATCCCCCTTCTTAAAATGGGCGACCACCAGGGCATCCTTCCAATCCTGCAGAACCCATCCAGTGGACCAGACTGTTGTTAAGATGTCATGTAGGGCAGTCTGTGCACAAACGCCACCCTCCCTCAGCATTTCGCTTGGGAGATCATCTCTGTCCACTGCCTTTCCTGGTCTCAGACTCCGGATCACCTTTAGTACTTCCTCAACAGATGGCACCTCAGCCAGCCACTCACAGGGGGTGACCTCTTCCAATAATTGAGGCACCGCAGCCTCAGCAGGGTCATCCCCACTTTGTGCCACAATGTTTTCCTGGCTGAGGGATTTTCCCTCCCCCAGGACCTCACAGAAATGCTCAGCAAATCTGCAAACCTGTTCCTGGGGGTCGGAGATTGGATCACCGTTTTTTCCCCTAATGATGGTAATAGGTGTGGTGCTGCAGGTTACTTTTTTATGGAGTTGAAGAGCGATTTGTGATCAAGGGTCATTGAGCCAGACTCCATCTCCACAGCAACCCACGACCACCACCCATTCTTGCAGCGCCTCACAGCTCTCCGATCCTCCGAGCGAAGGCTGCGGTAAGCCTCCTCATTCTCTGACGTGGGATTCTGTAGCCGATCAGAGTGGGCCTGTCGCTTTTTCTGAGCCATCCTGAACACCTCCTCCGTCAGCCAGGGTCTCTGGGGAGGTCTTGACCGCGTACCCAAAGCAGCCATTGCAGCTGCATGAGTCACAGTCCTAAACCTCGCCTATTTACCCTCGACATCTGGAGGAGTCGGGGACGATGCCAATCCTAGCCGCAAGCGATGACGAAATTCTCGCTTGCAACTTTCATCAGATAACTGAGACCAGGCCACTTTAGGTTGGAATGGGGTCCTGGGTGTACACCCACCACCGGAGTGGAAGAATGGCAGGTGCATCTTACAGATGACAAGTCGATGGTCAGAGGGCAGATCAGCTCCACGGTAGGTCCTGGTGTCAAGGACATGGGCCCGCATCCGCTGTTCCATCACTATGTAGTCCAGCAGATGTTCTTGCTTAAACCCGGCATGCATCCATGATGTTGTGTGGATGTGCCACAGAGATCCAGGCGGTACCGGTCCAGCTCCCGACAGAGGAGCGGCAGCCTCTCCTCCGCAGTGAGCGTTCGGACATTCCACGTGGCCACCCGTAGTGGCTTTTCGTTGTTTCTGGAGGAGCCCCGAGGGTAGAGATTCAATCTCCTGGCACCGCCAATTGGGGTTTGGCCGTGAGACGTCATAGACGCCTGTCCCCCCGGGGCCTCCGGCACAAGCTTTTACCTCGTGGTTTAGTGGTAATTTACTGAAGGTGGAGGGGTTACCAGCCCCCTCGCACCCGTCTAGAGCCCCCGTTTAGCCCCTGTGGTGGTCACAGAGGCCCCCACGACACTGCTCACCACAGAGTTGCCGACCCGCAGCAACGAGGAGGTAGGGGGTTGTTTTGCTGAACACCGCCACCACCACTACTACCACTACTACTACTACCACTACTACTATCACTACCACTACTACTACCACTACTACCACTACTACCACTACCACTACTACCACCACTACTACCACTACCACCACTACTACCACTACTACTACTACCACTACCACTACTACCACTACTACCACTACTAATACTACTATCACTACTACCACTACTACCACTACTACTATCACTACTACTACTACCACTACTACTACCACTACTACTACTATCACTACCACTACTACCACTACTACTATCACTACCACTACTACCACTACTACCACTACTACTACCACTACTACCACTACTACTACTACCACTACTATCACTACCACTACTACCACTACTACTATCACTACCACTACTACCACTACTACTACCACTAGTACCACCACTACTACCACTACTACCACTACTACTACTACCACTATTACTACCACCACCACTACTACCACTACCACCACTACCACCACTACCACCACCACTACCACCACTACCACCACCACCACCGCCACCACCACTACCGCCACCACCACCATTGTCACCATCACCATCATCACCACCATCATTACCATCGACACCATCGACACCATCACCACCACCATCACCACCATCACCACCATCACCACTACCACCACCATCACCTCGTCGAGTTCCCAGTAGAACTCCGCTGGTTGTGGCTTCGTCATGGTGGGTGGTGCTTCAGTGGTGCCACCACCACCACCACCACCACCGCCACCACCACCACCGCCACCACCATCACCACCGCCACCACCACCACCACCACCGCCGCCCCTTAGCACGACCATCAGGCGGCAGGCAGGCAGTAGGAACAGCGCCACGGGCATCACTCTCTGCTCGTGTCCACCATCACCACCATCACCACCACCACCACCATCATCACCATCATCACCTGGTGGCAGCGGGGAGAGGGGTGGTGAGCGTGGTGGTGATGGTGGTGGTGGTGAGTGTGGTGAGTGGTGGTGGTGGTGGTGGTGAGCGTGGTGGTGGTGGTGGTGATGAGTGTGGTGATGGTGGTGATGGTTATGGTGGTGGTGAGTGTGGTGATGGTGGTGATGGTGAGTGTGGCAATGGTGACGATGGTGAGTGTGGTGGTGGTGGTGGTGGTGAGTGGTGGTGATTGTGGTGATGGTGGTGATGGTTGTGGTGGTGAGTGTGGCGATGGTGGTGATGGTGAGTGTGGTGATGGTGGTGGTGGTGAGTGTGGCGATGGTGGTGGTGATGATGGTGAGTGGTGGTGGTGGTGGTGGTGAGTGTGGCGATGGTGGAGATGGTGGTGATGATGATGATGTTGATGATGATGCTGATGATGATGTTGATGATGATGCTGATGATGATGATGATGCTACTGATGATGATGTTGATGATGCTGCTGATGATGATGCTGATGATGATGCTGCTGCTGATGATGATGAAGATGATGATGATGTTGATGCTGCTGCTGCTGATGATGCTGCTGATGATGATGATGAAGATGATGATGATGATGCTGCTGCTGCTGATGATGCTGATGATTATGATGATGATGATACTGATGATGATGATGATGATACTGATGATGATGATGATGATACTGATGATGATGATACTGATGATGATGATGCTACTGATGATGATGATGGTGATGATGATGATGATGCTACTGATGATGATGATGATACTGATGATGATGATGATACTGATGATGATGATGATGCTACTGATGATGATGATGATACTGATGATGATGCTACTCCATGGCGCACCCGTGAGTTGCGTGCTGCACAAGATCGACTCCACCCCATCGTCACGTGGTGGAGTCTCAGCATCACGTGGTGACGTCTCAGCATCACGTGGTGACGTCTCAGCATCACGTGGTGAAGTCTCATCGTCACGTGGTGACGTCTCAGCATCACGTGGTGAAGTCTCATCGTCACGTGGTGACGTCTCAGCATCACGTGGTGACGTCTCAGCATCACGTGGTGACGTCTCAGCATCACGTGGTGACGTCTCAGCATCACGTGGTGAAGTCTCATCGTCACGTGGTGACGTCTCAGCATCACGTGGTGAAGTCTCAACACCACGTGGTGAAGACTCATCACGTGGTGAAGTCTCAGCATCACGTGGTGACGTCTCAGCATCACGTGGTGACGTCTCAGCATCACGTGGTGACGTCTCAGCACCACGTGGTGAAGTCTCATCACGTGGTGAAGTCTCAGCACCACGTGGTGAAGACTCCTCATCACCATGTGGTGACGTCTCAGCACCACGTGGTGACGTCTCATCATCACCACGTGGTGACGTCTCAGCACCACGTGGTGAAGACTCCTCATCACCATGTGGTGACGTCTCAGCACCACGTGGTGACGTCTCAGCACCACGTGGTGACGTCTCCTCATCACCACGTGGTGACGTCTCCTCATCACCACGTGGTGAAGTCTCAGCACCACGTGGTGAAGTCTCAGCACCACGTGGTGACGTCTCAGCACCACGTGGTGACGTCTCAGCACCACGTGGTGACGTCTCAGCACCACGTGGTGACGTCTCCTCATCACCACGTGGTGATGTCTCCTCAGCACCACGTGGTGAAGTCTCAGCACCACGTGGTGACGTCTCAGCACCACGTGGTGACGTCTCCTCATCACCACGTGGTGACGTCTCAGCACCACGTGGTGACGTCTCATCACCACGTGGTGACGTCTCAGCACCACGTGGTGACGTCTCAGCACCACGTGGTGACGTCTCCTCAGCACCACGGTGGACTCCCCCTGAGGCTTCCCTGCGCATCCACAGCGAGAGGGAGAAGCTGGACGAGGAGAGGAGCACAGAGGCAGCGCTGTCGGGGAGATGCACCACCTGGGGTAGACACAGAGACACACACAGAGACACAGAGACACACACAGAGACACACACAGAGACACAGACAGCGAGAGGGAGAAGCTGGACGAGGAGAGGAGCACAGAGGCAGCGCTGTCGGGGAGATGCACCACCTGGGACACACACACAGAGACACAGAGACACAGAGACACAGAGACACACACAGAGACAGACACAGACACACACAGAGACACCCACAGAGACACACACAGAGAGACACACACAGAGACACACACAGAGACACACACAGAGACACACACAGAGACACACAGTGAGACACACAGAGACACAGAGACACACACAGAGACACACACAGAGACACAGAGACACAGAGACACAGAGACACACACAGAGACACAGAGACACACACAGAGACACAGACACACACAGTGAGACACAGAGACACACACAGAGACACAGACACACACAGACACACAGAGACACACAGTGAGACACACAGAGACACACACAGAGACACACAGACACACACAGACACACAGAGACACAGAGACACACAGAGACACACACAGAGACACACAGAGACACAGAGACACACACAGAGACACAGAGACACACACAGAGACACACACAGAGACACAGACAGCGAGAGGGAGAAGCTGGACGAGGAGAGGAGCACAGAGACAGCGCTGTCGGGGAGATGCACCACCTGGGGTAGACACAGAGACACAGAGACACAGAGACACAGAGACACACACAGAGACACAGAGACACACACAGAGACACACACAGAGACACACACAGAGACACAGAGACACAGAGACACAGAGACACACAGAGACACAGACACACAGAGACACAGAGACACACACAGAGACACACAGTGAGACACACAGAGACACACACAGAGACACACAGACACACACAGACACACAGAGACACACACAGAGACACACACAGAGAGTCACACAGAGACACACAGAGACACACACAGAGACACACACAGAGACACAGACAGAGACACACACAGAGAGTCACACAGAGACACACACAGAGACACACAGTGAGACACACAGAGACACACACAGAGACACAGAGACACACACAGAGGCACACACAGACACACAGAGACACAGAGACACACACAGACACACTCACACAGAGACACACACAGAGACACACACAGAGACACAGAGACAGAGAGACACACACAGAGACACAGAGACACAGAGACACACAGAGACACACACAGAGACACACACAGAGACACACACAGAGACACAGACACACACAGACACACACAGAGACAAACACAGACACACAGAGACACAGACAGCGAGAGGGAGAAGCTGGACGAGGAGAGGAGCACAGAGGCAGCGCTGTCGGGGAGATGCACCACCTGGGGTAGACACAGAGACACAGAGACACAGAGACACACGCAGAGACACAGAGACACACACAGAGACACACAGTGAGACACACAGAGACACACACAGAGACACAGAGACACACACAGAGACACACACAGAGACACACACAGAGACACACACAGAGACACAGACAGAGACACACACAGAGAGTCACACAGAGACACACACAGAGACACACAGTGAGACACACAGAGACACACACAGAGACACACACAGAGACACACACAGACACAGAGACACAGAGACACACACAGACACACTCACACAGAGACACACAGAGACACACACAGAGACACAGAGACACACAGAGACACAGAGACACACAGAGACACACACAGAGACACAGACAGCGAGAGGGAGAAGCTGGACGAGGAGAGGAGCACAGAGGTAGCGCTGTCGGGGAGATGCACCACCTGGGGTAGACACAGAGACACAGAGACACACACAGAGACACACACAGAGACACACACAGAGACACACACAGTGAGACACACAGTGAGACACACAGTGAGAAACACAGAGACACACAGAGATACACACAGACACACACAGAGACATAGAGACAGACACAGAGACACACAAACACACAGAGACACACACAGAGACACAGAGACACAGAGACACACACAGAGACACACACAGAGACACACACAGGGACACACACAGAGACACACACAGAGACACACAAAGAGACTCACACAGAGACACACACAGAGACACACACAGAGACACACACAGAGACACAGAGACACACACAGAGACACACACAGAGACTCACACAGAGACACACACAGAGACACACACAGACACACACAGAGACTCACACAGAGACACACACAAAGACACACACAGACACACACAGAGACACACACAGAGACACACACAGAGACACACACAGAGACACACAGAGAGACACACAGACACACACAGAGACACAGAGACACACACAGAGACACAGAGACAGACACAGAGACAGACACACACAGAGACACACACAGACAGTGAAGCGTGCTGTAAACACTTGCCCCTACAGCCTGCTAGAGGCTACACGGGGGAGCTTTGTCTGTGTGTGTGTCACTGTGTGTCACTGTGTGTGTGTCTGTGTGTGTGTCACTGTGTATGTGTCACTGTGTGTGTGTCTGTGTGTGTGTCACTGTGCGTGTGTGTGTATCTGTGTGTCTATCTGTGCGTGTGTGTCACTGTGTGTGTGTGTCTGTGTATGTGTCTGTGTGTGTGTCACTGTGTGTGTGTGTCACTGTGTGTGTGTCTGTGTGTGTGTCACTGTGTGTGTGTGTCTCTGTGTGTCTATCTGTGCGTGTGTGTCACTGTGTGTGTCTATCTGTGTGTATGTTAGGGAGCGATAGTGTAGTGGTTAGCGCTACGCTGCGCTATGAACCTGGTGACCCGAGTTCAATTCCAACACCAGTGACGATTATCTGAACCGGTCCTGGGCCTCCCCTAGGTCGACTCAGCCTAAAATGAGTACCCGGTGCGGTGTGTAGTAAACATTGCCACTGGGGAGACAAAGGCGGTCGGGCGTGGTGCTGGCCACCCACCCCCTCGATAACAGCACTTGCCCCTACAGTCTGTTAAGACTGTACAGGGGATCTTTGTCTTTGTTTTGTGTGTCTGTGTGTGTGTGTCTGTGTGTCTGTGTCTGTGTGTGGGTGTCTGTGTGTGTCTGTCTGTGTCTCTGTGTGTGTGTCTGTGTGTGTGAGACTGTGTGTGTGTCTCTTTGTGTCTTTGTGTCTGTGTCTGTGTGTGTCTGTGTGTCTGTGTGTGTCTGTGTGTGTGTGTCTGTGTGTGTGTGTCTGTGTCCGGCAAAACAACCCCCTACCTCCTCGCGGTGCCGGACGGGCAACTCTGTCATGGACAGTGCTGTGGGGGGAGGTCCAATTCCGATTGGCTCCTCCCCTCATGGCGTCTGTGACCACCACAGGGGCTAAACGGGGGCTCTGGACGGGTGCGAGGGGCTGGTAACCCCTCCACCTTCAATTAATTACCACTAATCCACGAATTAAATATGTAACTAATAAGCTTGTGCCGGAGGCCCCGGGGGGACAGGCGTCTATGACGTCTCCTGGCCAAACCCCAATTGGCGGAGCCAGGAGATTGAATCTCTACCCTCGGGGCTCCTCCAGAAACAACGAAAAACCACTACGGGTGGCCACGTGGAATGTTCGAACGCTCACTGCGGAGGAGAGGCTGCCACTCCTCTGTCGGGAGCTGGACCGGTACCGCCTGGATCTCTGTGGCATTCAGGAGGTCCGGTGGAGCGGTTCTGGCTCCTGCCACCATGAGGGGTGGAAAGTCCTCTACTCAGGGCAGCAGACTGTCAAACAACAGGGTGTGGCTCTTCTTCTGAACAAAAGAATGAAGGGGGCGTGGGAGCGTGACGGTGAGGTGTGGGAAGCTGTAAGTCCCAGGCTACTTTGGGCCCGCCTTCCCATCAACCCGAGGCGAGGAGTGGTGGTCGTGGTTACTTATGCCCCCACCGAAGACGAACATCCGTGGAGGGATGCAGGCAAGGCCGATGAGTCAGATGCCTTCAATGACCTCCTGTCACAGGTGCTGGCTAAAGTGGCCCCTCAGGATAGAGTCATTATGTTGGGTGACTTAAATGCCCGAGTTGGTCATGATGCTGGCACCTGGTCTGGAGTGATTGGAGGGCATGGGTCAGATCAGCTCAATAACAACGGTAGGAGCCTGCTAGATTTTTGTGCAGCCCATGGGCTTGTACTTACCAACACGCTGTTCCGGCATTGGCGCATCCACACAACATCATGGATGCATGCCGGGTCCAAGCAAGAACATCTGCTGGACTACATAGTGACGGACCAGCAGATGCGGGCCCATTTCCTTGACACCAGGACCTACCGTGGAGCTGATCTGCCCTCTGACCATCGACTAGTCATCTGTAAGATGCGCCTGCCATTCTTCCACTCCGGTGGTGGGTGTACACCCAGGACCCCATTGCAACCTAAGGTGGCCTGGTCTCAGCTAACTGATGAAAGTTGCAAGCGAGAAATTCATCATCGCTTGCGGCTGGGATTGGCATCGTCCCCCACTCCTCCTGATGTCGAGGGTAAATTGGCGAGGTTTAGGACTGTGACTCATGCAGCTGCAATGGCTGCTTTGGGTACGCGGTCCAGACCTCCCCAGAGACCCTGGCTGACAGAGG